ATTGATGTTTTTTTTTATGTGCACAAGAAGTGTGCCCACTCCAATATTAGCAGCTTAGCTTAGCTGTTCATATTGGAAAATACCTAGGCCTAGTTATGCATATACCTATAAATATTGTTCGCATCTCTTTTATCGAAGTCAAGTATTAAATTAAATTTTTGAATATCATATACAATATTCACTTTCCTAATTAAGAATGTAACATTTAGGTAGCGTTAATATATGTCTGATTCAATATAATATGATTGGATTCGAATTTAGTTAAATCAAAATCATATTTATGGGTACCTAGTCATTTTAAGTCTTGTAATCTTAATAATAAAACAAATTCATGGGAATTATTTTAATTATAAAACAAAATCATTCCTTTGCACAAAATTTAAATTCGAGATCTGAGAAATTTAATCAGAAACTTCTGCAATTTTGTGGAAGCTATCATGTTTATTTTTAATCAATGTTATGTATACTACATATTAGGTGTTTAAAATCTGCACCAATATTAATAGAATCCACGATTTCCATACCAAAATGTAAATGTGATGCGACCAAATATAGCGTGCTCCCCAGAATTATTTTTGCCTTTTTCCTCGAAATTATTATTAAACATCAGATTTCAAATATGAAAAAGTGAGAAAATTTACATTTTAAGAGTAAAATTGAATGAAGCACGTTGAGGATGTAGTGCAAACAAACTATGGATCTAATATCTACATCATATATCAATTCTAAAAATCATAAAGAGAAAGCTAAGATCACATTTTTTGTGAGTGGGGTCACTTCTTGTGCACATACGTCACTATGAGGCCTTCAATTCAGATGTTTAAGGTTAATTTTTAATGGTGCTTCATGCCTGTTGTCAAAAATTTGAATTAAAATCAGATGGGCATGCACTTATCACTTTCTGACATGCTCTTCCAAAATCAATTTTTCTATATTAAAATTGCAAAAAAATATAATTGTCATACTATTCATTATTTAAAGATTTATAATAACTTCTTTCCAGCCAAAAATATTAACTTTTTACATAAGAAAATTGGGATGGAAATCTTAGATGTCAAAAAAATTGAGAGAATGTCAGAAAGTGGTAAGTGTGGTCTTAAATTCGATTTGAAAGAAAATGTAGTGGTTCCTAATGATAATGAAACAAGAAAACATTGTTTTTTATAATAAGGAATCTGAAAAGCTGATTATTTAAATAATATCTGCCACTCTCAAGCAACATAATTCATTTCTAAATATGCGAGCAAAAAAAAATTATGCAACGTAATTCATTTCCATTGGTCAATTTCGAGGTTTATTATTCATATAAAATAACAGCCTGTCAAGTTGTATATATGATAATTATCATGGTTTCAGTCTTTCTTCTCAAAATTTTTGTAATAATCTTATCTTGAAAATCATAAGAAGTATTCTTGAGATCATAGAAACGGTTATGCTTCAAAATATAAATGCTATTTATACTACGACTAATATCTTCACCTTTTGGGTGAAAAATTATAACATATATATTTCTAATGATAATATAATACTTTAATTTATAACTATGTATACCTTCAATTTTCATTGTTAGAACTGGCATAATCAATAAAAATTGATATATGATATCTAATTAATATGAGGATGTTTTATTGTCGTCTGGGAAAAGTGACAAAATTATTATTGTCGTCTAAAAAGGTGACAAATTATTATTGTCGTCTGGAAAAGTGACAAAATTATCATTGTCGTCTAAAAAATAGATTTTTCAAGCATGTTTCGGTACCTAAATAAAGGAAGAACATCAATTCCATCTATGTATATAGTATGCAAACACGCATGATATATGGAGTAGCTCTTTATCTGGCTAAAAATCCTATTATTTGAAAATTCGCATTGTCGTCTAAAACCGCCAGACGACAATAATAATACCCCAATTAATATAATAAAAATTTAAAACTCAGTCACATAAGCTACAGATCTAATGAAAATACAAGGTTTTAATGTTAAAAACTCATTAAAATGTACTTTGAAGTTGAATTCAGATTTTTTTCAGAAAATGTGTTCCATATTTGAATATATTTATTTTAAATATGTGGAAGCTTAACTTTGGATCTCAAATGACAAAAATATTCAATGATCTAGTGTTGAAATTATTTTAAAAAAATACATCAATAAAAATGTTTTCATTTCATAGGATATCATAAGGATTATTTATGTTTTACAAGTTGGTCAGTGCCTGACAAACCATATTGAATTTATTTATGTCATTTGACAAAAATGACAGTTGAGCAAAATTATATATTTTTAATTGTTAACTCATAATAAATTATCCACTTAATTTCTATACAGAATTTTCAATACATTCTGAAAATCCAACTTTTATTATGTTGTTTGTATTAGCAGGTCTCAGTATTTCCAATCTATGGATGCCTGGTAGAGGACAAATCATATACATCAAACCCAGAGAGAATTTCCTATGGACGGCACCAGATGGCAGAGTTCTTGATCTTCCAGAAGGAATCTTAAGTTTCCTTGATCGCGATCCAAGCAAATAGCTGGCCCAAGAAAGTGAAAATGGAATTCGTTACAGGCCAAAACTTCCTAAGACATCAAGAACAAAAAGATTTGGAGTCCAGTTACCTGTTTTCTCCAAAATTAAGGATACAAGGTTTGCAATTTCCCGCGGAGTAAAAACAACTCTTTGCAAACATAGAATTCTCAAACCAAAATTAATCAGGAATGCAGATTTACAGTTTACTTATCCTGATGGAACACCTGTACCATTTTCACCTGAAATGTTCGGTTTAATTGATAAGCAATCATTCTACGATATGGTTGGCAGACTCAGCAAGAATGGTTATCCATGGTGGAAAGGAGCATGCTAAAACATCTTATTCTGAAGAAGGAATGAGAGTTTTAGTTTATTAGTAAATTGTACCTACTAATTTATGTATCATTTTTAAATTTAAATTCTGTTGTGAAAGAAAATTCAAAAAAAAATGATTCTTATTGATTCATGATGCATTAAAACATAAAAGCGTTGCTTTTTGATATAATGATATAATAATTTAATAAAAAAACAATATTTGAAGAATTGCTCAAATATTAAAGTCAACAAGTGAATATTTTATAATTAATGTGGTTCAATATATTACTACATTGTGATTGTGATATATTGGAATTTTGAGAAGAAAAAAAAAATTAAAAAAAAAATTAACACGAAATTCAATAAATATGCATATATTATGCATAGAAGACAGGAGTGTACTGTTTTCAGAGTCTTGAGAATTATATTACCAAATTAAACTTAAACATGTGATATTTTTTTCTCTTCTGATATACTTACTCATTCTATTTATCTCTAATGATGTGTTGTTACTTTAAAAACTCTCTTAAAGCATTCTTATAAGTCAATTTTAAGTTAATGCAAATTGATTATCGGCAAAATTACAATTAAAGGGTGTTTACTAAGACCATTTACTCTTCTAGAGTAATAAAGACTTCTGGAATTATTAATAAGGATTTTAAGATCTAAATCTTTCCAAGCATCATGTGATTCTATAGCTCATGTTTCTTATATGAAACAAATTTACCAAATAATCATTTTTATTACTAACTATACTTAATATTTATATATATATAAGATATTCCGATTTTAGAGAAGGGCGATTCGGACAATTTTAGATAAAGAAGCCAGTAATTACTTATATTATAATATAAGCAACGAAATGTTCCCTTATGAAAGCTGATGTTTCTCAAGAATTGAATAATCGCTCAAGAAATTCTTTCGGAATCGTAATTCTTTAAACATTAATTTGAACGATTAATTATTATATCACATTCATATAATAAAGACATTCTCTATGAATGCCTTTTTTTATTACTTTTTTCATTCTTCACAATATTTCTGATTTAAACTTTAATCATAGTAATCCGGATTAAAAATTAAAAAAAATAAGAGTATATTCAAAAAAAATTGAATTCTATAGATCACGGTAAATGTCTCAATGTGAAAATTTATGAGAATTACTTGCCTGTTGAAATTGAAAATTCAACCCTAGGTTCCAAAAAAATAGTAAAAACAATTGAATTTTAATTACATTGAAATGGGTTAATCAATTCAATTTTGTTAATTGTTACAGTAAAAAGAACTCATGACTATATTTATATACATTCAAGAATCCCTCATGCAGATTCATCGATATCTATCTTGATATATTTGGATCAAAATTTTTGATGCTTGGAGAAATACAAATGAAGAATACTACTGTAAATCATTGAAATCTGTATTATTTTTAAATAATTTAGAGTATTTGGGAGATTTTGCATTTTATGAGTGTGCTAATTTGACGAAATTTAACTGGTCATCTGATAACAGTGTATATATTGGTGCAGGAGTATTCTCTAATTGTTACAGTCTTGATAATGTCCAACTTCCGCATTCAATTCTAAAAATTCCTGATAAATGTTTTTCATTTTGTCAATCTATTACTGAAATATCATTTCTAAACAATATTCTTGAAATTGGTAATTATGCTTTTCAAAAATGCATCAGTCTCCGAAATATAATAATTCCGGATTCTGTAATTGAAATAAAAGATTATGCATTCTACTATTCTGGAGTTGAGTCAGTAATTTTATCCAAAAATCTTTCATCTATTGGTGCGTATGCCTTCTCTGAATGCTACAATTTAAGAAATGTTACATTTTATGACAATATTTCTGCATTAAATCAGTCTTTGTTCAGAAATTCTTTCGATAATGCTTCATTGGTTATTCCTCAATCTGTAACCATCATTTATGAATATTGTTTTTCTAATTGTTCATTAATTGAAATTAATTTATCACAAAATCTTCAAGAAATCAAGCAATACGCGTTCATTAACTGTACATTACTTACTTCTATTGTATTTCCGAGCAATTTAAGTATAATTGAAGCTTCTTGCTTTAAGAATTGTAAAAGTATTAATGAATTGAGAATTCCATCGAAATTAACAACTCGTGGCAACTCATGTTTCGGGTTTATGGATAGCTTAGAAAGTGTCATCATTGAAGATGGTTCAGAGTCAATTTTTGAGCAAGAATTTTATTCCTCTATTAATTTGCATGAAGTTACATTTCCAAGCACATTGAAAACAATTCAAGCTTATGCTTTTTTCAATACAGGATTAATTTCTATTGATATACCAAACTCTGTTTTATCAATTGGAAGCGGAGCATTTAAGAATTGTTATTCAATAAATCAAATAACATTTGGTGAAAATATAGAAGAATTAAACGACTCGGCTTTTAGCAATTCATTCGATAACGCCATCATCAATCTTCCAAATAATTTGAAAACAATCAAAAATGGTTGTTTTATGAATTCTTCTATTACAAAAGTGACCTTTGGGACCTCTTTACAGTATATAGGTTATTACTCATTTTATGATTGCAGACTATTAACAAATATAGAATTCCCTAACTGTGCAATAACTCTTGATACTTATGCATTTAGTGGTTCAAATCAAATAAAAGAAATCACAATTCATTCGAATATTACTTTTATTGGATATAATTCTCCATTTTATAATATAGGACTTCTCAAAAAAGTTATATTTAAAGAAGGAGTCAAAACAATCTATCCGTATGCATTTCATAGATGTTACAGTTTAAGCGATGTAATTTTCCCTGATTCTCTCACTAATATTTCTTCATATGCTTTCTCTGAAACTAAATTATCATCAGTAGTTTTTCCAAATAATCTAACAACAATTGGAGATGATGCATTCAGTAGGTGTAGATCATTATACAAAGTTATAATTAATGATAATTTGTCTGTCCTTCCATCTTCATGTTTTATGTATGATATTAATCTTACAATATTAGTTCTACCAAAAAATTTAACAGTGATTGAGTCACATTGTTTCGAAGGATGTTATTCTCTCAATTTAACAAATCTTCCATCATCAATACAAGAATTAGGGTCATATTGTTTTGAAAATTGTTATTCTATTAATTTAACTTATCTGCCATCATCAATAGAAATATTACGGTCTTATTGTTTTTATAATTGTTATTCTATTAATTTAACATATCTTCCTTCATCATTAAAAAAATTGGGGTCATTTTGTTTTTATGGTTGTTCTTCCATCAATTTAACAGATTTTCCTTCGACTTTAATTGTATTTGGAGAATATTGTTTGGCAAATTGTAATGCATTTGAATCGATTAAAGTATTATCTAATTGGACAAGAGGTAGAGGATGTTTTTCTAGCAATGAAAATCTCAAGAAAGTTGTTTTCGATCAAAATATTACCACAATAGTTGAGAGTGAATTTTACTTATGCCCAAATCTAACAGAAGTAGTTTTGCCAGAAGCTCTTATGACTATTGAATCAGGTGCATTTTCATTTACAGGATTAACTTCTGTTATTCTACCAGAAAATGTCTCATCTCTTGGGAATAATGCATTTTCTAATTATCTCTCATTGAAACAATTCGAATTTGATGATAATTTAACAACATTTGGGGATTATTGTTTTCAATTGTCTCTTTATTTAGATGTTCTTACTTTGCCTGCAAAATTAGAATCAATTGGTATAAAATGTTTTGAAGGTTGCTCGTTTAATTCAGTAATATTTCCTGATTCTCTGATGTATATTGGCAATTATGCATTTGCAAGTGCGAATCTTACATCATTAGAACTACCAAATAGATCAATAGAAATAGGTTGTATGGCATTTAAAAATAATTCAATAACAGAGCTTTTCATTCCTGCAAAAGTAAAATTCACTGGAGAGGGTCAAATATATCTGCACGGTTATTATGATCCAGTATACAGTTATTACGGATATATTTATGGGAATGGTTGTTTTCAAGATAATGTATATCTTTCAAAAGTTGAATTTGAGGAAGAGATCATAGAAATATACTCTGGAGAATTTTTTGGTTGTTCTAATTTAACAGAAATAAAGTTGCCTCAATCTTTGAAAAAATTTGGGGCAGTTTGTTTTGCATATACTGGGATCAGAAATATCACACTTACAGATAGTATTATTGAAATTGAAACATATGCATTTGGACACTGTCATTCATTGAAAGAATTTAAATTCAATAATAATTTTAACGTTCTTCCTGAGTATTGTTTTATGGACTCATTCAATTTCTCTGATTTGATAATTCCTAATTCAGTAACCGAAATTAAAGCAGGATGCTTTAAAAATTGTCTATTAAATTCTATTGTGCTTCCAACATCACTTTCTTATATTCGAAAAAATGCATTTTATAACTGTACAATAATTAAACCTTTTCAGTTTCCAAATAGTGCAATATCCATCGAAGAATATTGTTTTAGTCTTAGCACTATCGAAGAATTAAATATATCATTTGACAAAAGGAATATTGGAAAATATTTCTTTGCTGGTTGCCAAAATCTTAAAAAAGTTCGCTTTAGTAGTAATATTCATTTTATCGAGTTTGGTGAATTTGCAAATTGTATCAATCTTATAGATGTTGAATTGCCAGAGTCTATTACTACTATTCGTGATGAAGCATTTATGAATACAGGAATTGTATCAATTAAACTTCCAGACAATTTGACAACAATTGATTTTTGTGCTTTCAAAAACTGTATTCATTTAAAAAGTATAACGTTTGGAATTAATACTACATTTATCGGTGCTTCATGTTTTGAGAATTCCTTCAATATGTCATCTATTATTTTGCCTCCAAATATGACTACAATTTATGGTAATTGTTTCAAAAATGCACAACTCAATTCCATTGAGATTCCATTCTCTGTAACTTCTATTGGTGTCAGTGCATTTGAATATAGTTATCTCCCTGAAAAATTGATAATTCATGAAAATATTAATACAATAAATGTATTTGCATTCCATGGAGTTCAGAATGTAAAATGTATTGAATTTCTTGGAATAACAAATGTTGATTTATCTGGTTTCGAAGAATGTAAGGATTTGATTGAAGTTACATTGCCAAAGGAAGGAAGACTCAGTTTTGATTGTTTCAAAGATTGTACTAATCTTCAAACTGTTCGCTCGACTCCATCACTCAACATATTAGAAATCCAAGGAAATGCTTTCGAAAACTGTTATAATCTACAAGATTTTCCATTTGCAAGAATAGATTATATTTATGAAGAAACATTTAAGAATTGTACAAGCTTGAAAAATATTGATCTGAGAAGCATTCATTCAATTGATAGTATGGCATTTTATAATTGCACTAACATTCGATGTGTGCGAATAGGAGATGGTACATATATAGGATATTCATGTTTCCAGGATTGTATCAATTTAAAGTATCTTTATATTGGAAAGGACTGTAATATTCACTATTATTCATTTTATAATTGCGAACAAATTAAATATCTAATCATTGACTCAACAACTGAATTTAATCATTATGATGAAATATTTTCAAATAAAATATCTATTGCAGTACATAATGCAGGCCCTGATAATTATGCAGATATATGTAATAGATTTAGTGAAATGGGATCAAAATTCCATTTCTATGGACTCAATAGAGAATATTTCAACGACGCATGCAATATTCCTATGCTTCCTGCTCCAAACGACATTAATTTAGCTTATTGTCGAGGATATCCAGAAACTCTTTTGCATGAGCGAGATTTTTCAAAATATCATTTTGAATTTCTTTATCTTTTATCAACATAGTAAACTATTTGCGTTTTTTATAATATGCTTCATTATCATGTTTGAAACATACAATTTTGTCTTCATATGAACTAGCAAAATCTCAATGAGATAATCTAATTATGTGTATGTAAAGGATCTATTACTCTTACTCACACAAAATATTTAGAATGAATTCACTTAAACAAAATAATCAAAATGATAAATAATATGTGTGTAACAATGGATGTAATTTTATGTGATAATTAATGCAATATTCATTTATATTCAATTAATTTTGTCCAAATGTTTGTCATTTTTGATATATTGAGCCACCAATGTTTAAAATATAAACATTGAAATTCCATGTGTTTTATAATTTTTAGTCAAATATGACCTCAATGGAAATATTGAAGATTATTTTTAGAGAAATGGACCTATTAAGTGAACTACACAAAATTTATAACTTCCCAATATTTTTTATTAATTGAAGCCTGTTGAAAACCCATAATAACGAAAAATAACAATTCAATACTAATAAGTTAATAAGTTTTAGAATTATTTCAAGAATAGTTCGATATGCCACAAGAATATAGAAATTTTAGTGCTTACTAGAACTATAATTGAATCTGACCTTTTTTTTGAAAACAATTTGAATCTATTGACTTGAACGAAAATCGCCGTTTGTTTCACCCATGAACATCTTTCATGGGATAACTTCTTTGAAAATACACCTTATGTTCTTTTAGAAAGAAAAAATGGAGTTCAAACATTCTTTAATGGATCGGCAAACTCCTTCTTTATCTCTAGTTGTGTGTACATTGAGCAACACCCTCAAGGTGCAATACGATTCCTTAATACAAATGAAGATATGTGTATTTTTATCAATGATACAACTTTTCGCCCTTGTTATACGGACTTTGCTAATTTAAGTGGAGGATCATTTTATTGGAAAGATTATGGTAGTGTTGTTCAATATAGAAAGTGCTACCACACATCATGGTGCTCACAAAATGGTCAAGCTTATGGCACAAGTGTTTCAAACAATTGCATCAACCATTGTAACTTCACTTCATTGTTCAACATAGGGATTGATGAACATAAATACGCATATTCTATTGGCCAATCTAAAGGAAATGTATTCATCAATAATAATAATCAGACTCTATGTAGATGTGTTTATATGGCAGGTTTTGTTTCAAATTTTGCAAATTCTGTTTCTACACTTTTCTCCAATTTTATAAATTTAAACTCTCAAACATTTCAGGCAAAAATAATCTCAATAGGAAACCAGAAGACTATTACAAATTTAGAGCACAATAATATTATTAATTGTAGTTCAACTTACACCTTATTGTTTTTCGGTTATACAAACAAAACAATCATTAATAGTTGCATAATTAAAGATAATAATTCGCCATATTTAATTATTTTTGATCATGATACTATTTCAACTATAAGTAATATGTATATAGAGAACATAAGTCAAATTTTAGGAAATCCTACATTCAATAATACTAAATCTGTCGAAGGTGTCATAAATGAAATCCTTCCTCTTGAGATTGAAGTTTGTTTGAGAAAGAAATATCAAAGCACGTATGAAACTCTTATTTTTGATTGTTCCCCTTTATATTCTGCTCTTACTGAATCTCCTAACTTATCAAAGTAAACCATATCTATTTGATAATTAATTCAAGATAAAATGACAATAGAAAACTGATCCGATTTTTTTTTGAAAAAAGGACTTGAACGATAATGACCGTTTGTTTCACTTGGGATGAATTCTTTGAGAGCACACCTTCTGTTCTTGCTCTTGAAAAAACGGAGTTCAAACATTCCTCAAAGGAAATGCAACTCCTCTTTATATTCATTGAGCAACATCATCATCAAGGGGCATTCAGATTTCTCAATACGAACGAAAACATGTGTATTCAAACTATTACAATAGATAGAAAAATTGAAGGCTTAGGGTTATCCTTTTCTTTATAACATATCTGAACAACTCAAATTTCACATTTAAAAGCTAGAATTGCTTTTATTTGCTATCTTAGATAATTTTTATCGAAAATTATGAGTTTCTCAATGAATAAAGCAGTTCATCAAATTGAAGATTGATCAATTGTAAGAATTTCATCAGAGATCAAACTGCATATCAAATATATCCTTTATTAATTGATTCTAATAATATATCCGCAGAATAGGATCTTTTCCTATTTAATCAGACATTTTATTAAGTAAAAATCTTTAATTTGATAAATCAACGTGTGAGTTGATAATTTTGTCTGAAGTAAATATAATTTTCATATTGATTTTGTTCAGAATAAGACAACAATTCAAGCTCAATTCATAAAAAATTCGATTCAATAAGTCCGACTTCGAGAAGAATTCTTTATTACATGTGTCAAATATGGTTTCAAAAGAAAAATGTATATTTTGTATCTTATTCCTTTACATTTTGTAAAGTAACTGAATTCTGTTATCGAAAAAAAGAAAATCGAAAATAATGGAGAAATCTGAGAGTTTCAATGGATTATACTATCATGCAGTTGCTGAGAAACTCGCACAGAATTTCTCAAACAATAAGAAATTTAGAAAGCCGATGGATGCTGAAGCGTACAGAATTGCAAATGAATACGCGATCGAGTACTTAGGAAACCATAGTATGAGCCTTACAGAAGAAATTGCAGTATCAGAATCAAATCAATACATATTAGAACGTCACAATCCAAATTGGGTTGCAAGGAAATTAAAATTAAATCCGACTGAACCACTTTTCCCACAATTAGTGAAAGTTCTTGGTGCTGATCAGCCAGCTACAGTGTCTGATACATTTTCTGATTCAGAAGAACCCCAACCACTCAGGAACTCGATTAATGTAAGCGAGAGAGGACTTCCTAAAGTTCCAGAAGAGGTTAAGGGTAAAAATAATGGCAGGAGAAACCTTATGTCTGATGATGAAGATGTTTTTACAGCTGTCATGAATACTACTTACGCAGAAGAAAATTTAGGCGAACCAAAGGAGAAAAAGCATCATCACCAACCAGAGTTTACAGCTCTGGCTGATGAAGAAGCAAAAGAAAACAAACCATCGAGATTATACAACAAGAAGGAGAAACGTGGCAAGAAAGAGAAGCTTGCCCCTCCTCCAAAGGACTATAGAGCTCATGATATGACTGATACTATCATTGATACACAGTAATAAAAATTTTGGTTATTCTTTTATTTTTTCAAACCAATAAATAATATCTCCTTTCTATAATTTCAATAAAAACATAAAAAGATTAAAAATTTCGCAATTTACAAACAAATAAAAAAAATATCTAAATATTATTAATAATTCTATTGAAAATGTTATTGATACTGAACCTTTCTGTCAATTCATCAAGTTCTGTAGAGATTGTAACCTTCGGAACCTTTGGTTGGATGATATCATATTCGGAAACTTCTAATGGAGGAGGATTTGTCTTCATTTCGCTTTCAAGAGCACCTATATTAGTCCTACTTTGTTCAAGCTCCATTGTAAATGCATTGATGTCTTGTATTTCATAAGATTTTTCATTATTTTCTTGTTTTGATGCTTGTTTTCGATTCGAAACTGCACTTTCATTATATTTTTCGTTAACAATTGGTATATCCACTGTTGTTTCTTGGTTGGCGGCATCAGATAAGTAAGATCTCAGTTGTTCTGCAACAGAATTCTTTATAATCTTATTTTCGATCATTTCAATGTAATTTTTGTCCGACCAAATGTAATTTATTGGGGATCCTCTTTGGGAAATCGCTTTAAATAAATCAGAAATTTCATTTGATGATTCTAAATTCGAAATTTCGAGTTTAAATGTACGGATATAATGATTACTTAACAAAAGCTCTTTAACTTTTGTATAAATGGCCGGAGAACAGTCATGGAAACTTAAATCAACTGATGAAATGGATTTATTTGATTTTAATGACTCTAATAGCCTCTCAATGTCATTGTTATTCAATTTCTGTGTCTTTGATCCGTTTAATGTCAAAGATTTGAGATAATAATAATTTTCCAAATAAAATGCGAATTCATTGATCAAATCATCACCAGAAGCAAAGCATCCACTTAAATCAAGTGTTTCTAGTTCAGTTGCAGACTCTAAAAGGTCGAAAAACTCCGGAAAAACTGGATTTTCTCTCCAAATCAATTTTTTGAGATTTTTCGGTTCAATATTGGAGATATTTTGATATAACAAAGTCCACTGACTCTTATCCATCTTTGTTGATATACATCGATGTTTGGAACCGAATTAGTAACAAGTTTTACGAATCTTATAAAATTATCTTCGGAAAATTCAATATTTTGAGCTATAATTGTCTGTAATTTTGGAGGGATCAGTTCAGCATCATTTATCAGTTTCGTACATGGATTTTTAGAGATATTTATCGATTTCAAAATTAAATCTTTTTGAATTGTCAAAAATCCAAGGATATGACATAACTCAATGCCACATTCTTGGATGGAGAGATCTTCTATATGTGACAGAGATCCAAATAAAAGCGGCAAACTCAAATTATTCGCTCCATCTAATGAAAGAGAACGAATTGATGAGAATCCAATATCTTTATTGAAATATCTCAAGAATACTGATGTCATATCTCTCTGAAGACAGTAATTGAAGCCAAGTTTTTGAATATCAAAATTTCCAATTGATTTTGAGAGTTCTTGGATGGTATTTTTCGTAATATTGGGTTGTATAAAGATCAAATTAGGTATATTGATTTCATCGCTTTCAGATTCGACTTCTTTTATTGAAAATAAGATTTTTGAGGAAATTCCATTTAGATATATTGTTGTAACTGATGTATTTTCATATAAAAACTCTTTCATTTGGTCAGATGTCAAAACTGGTTTAGAAATGTTGAAATAAAGCGTTGAAACTCTTGTTTCTATAGCAATGGCTTGTAATAATTCATAAGTAAATTCACACTCACGATCTATAACACTGAAATCAAAAACTGTTGAAGCGCTAGTGCAAATAACATCTAAGAATTCACAAATTTCATCTGGAGGAACTTTTTGATTGTTAAAACATAATGCTCGAAATCTGTTTGTAAGAGATCGATAATGTCTTGTAATATCAGTTAAATTTGGAAATATTGTTTCGATTTTTGGGAAATTTTGAGGTAAAATAATGCTTTTCAGTTGATTTATAATCAATGATATGAAAGCTATAGCTACATCAGATTGTATATCAATTGTTGTGGTAGAAAATTTAAAAGTTGTTGAATCTTGGGATTGGAATGTAATTTGATTTAAATTGAAGTAGGAATCACAGAAAGTTTGAGTCAAAGCACGTGATATTTCTTTAGGTTTGAAAAAATATAGATGACTTTCGTTTGCATAAAGTAATTTTTGTTGAAATTTGCCATTTCCTCTTGAAACATCAACCATTATGCATGCAAAAGGAGAATTTATTTCTGGGAAGACAATAGGACTAATTAAGTTTAAATGATCAGCAGATACACACATTTTATAAAAAATTGAAAAGAAAAAAATAAAAAGTGGGTGAACCGTGAATCGAACACGGATCTATTGAGCCACAATCAACAATACTAACCATTATACCATTCACCCCTTACATTTGTTTCATTTATTTTAATTTATCATAAAAAGCTAAAGATCTTCTCTGATATCAAATGACTTATGATTTTCTTTTACGTGGAAGAAAATTTCATGATTTACCATATCCCGTTAGATATCCCTATGCCCTTATCTTTAATTAATATTCTTCTATTATCACATTTCATTTTTTAAATTTCATGATTAATGTTTCATATCATTGCCATCATTATTCATTATTCATGTATTAATGCGTTTTCGTTTGTAATTGAATGCAATCCGATATATTTGTTTCTATTGAGCATATTAATTTCTTATGTTTTTTCATATAATCTCCTGAAAATAGATATTTGTGTTATGCTCTATCAAGTTCAGCTTCACTTTCTTGTCGATATTTATCGTATTCAAAACAGCGTTATTTTTTATAAAATTGAAAACTCTTACAAAATAATTTTAATAAAATTGTACTCTTTGTATTAAATAATTTAATAATGAAAAATGTACGTTTGAAATTCTGATTAAAAAATCCGATGAAAAAAAATTGTTTAATCCTTTTTGTATTCTTTGAATGACCTCATTGGATAAAATTTTGCATCAAATTGCTTTTCAATTTTTCAAATGAACCTTGAACGCCCTGTACCGTTAAATCCCAAAGGCTATATATTGGATAAATTTATTGCCGAAGGTGGTTTTTCGGAGGTATGGCTGGGAAGACATGAAGAATCAAACACCCAAGTTGCGATTAAAGTATTTTATAAGAGAACAATGGACTCAAAAATTAAGCTGAACGATTTCAAGAATGAAGTTCATATACATAAGCAGCTATTACACCCGTTTTTAGTTCGATTCTACGAAACACTTGAAAATTGCTTTTACTATTATATTATAATGGAATTTTTGCCAGGAAAAACTTTAAAGCAAATGATTGTAGATAAATCCTCAATCGAAGATAACACGCTCAGAACATGGGCGGTTCAATTTTTGATGGCCATTGATTATTTGCATACGATTCCACAGGTTTGTCACATGGATCTCAAAGCTTCCAACTTAATAGTTGATAGTGACAATAATATTCGATTAATTGATTTTGGAATTAGCAGACCAATCACGAATAATACGGTACAAAATGACAAACAAGGAACTTTATATTATTTTGCTCCAGAAAGATTCAATGAAGAAACAGTAACAACCAAGGTTGATATTTGGAGTTTTGGAGTGATTTTATATTATATGTTCTCAAAAACTCTCCCGTTCAGTGGAGAAAGTCCAGCTGAGACAGCACAACTGATAAAGAACTCAGAACCATGTTATTTAGATGAAATTCCTCAAGATATAACTGACCTTATTAAATCTTGTTTGATTAAAGATCCAGCCTCTAGAATCAGTATGGAACAGATAAAGAAGATCCATTGGGTATCTGAAATATACTCAGAAATGCAAGGTAAATGTGGAGATATGGGAGCTCTTAATTCTACGAATCAAAAGTTTATAAGCATCTTGCGAGTACTTGAACAAGATAGTTCCTGTTCTAATCCTGGTTCTATCCGTCTTAGAAAGCGATCAACTGCAATGAGAAGAATTAGCTCTTCTGGTCGTTTTAAAGTTATTGATTATAAGTTAGCTAACTTTGGTTCTTCGCCAAATTTCTTTAACAACTCTCCAGAAGAAGAACAATAATAATATTCAATTTAGTAAATTGTTTTTATGCATCTGTCCATTAGAATACTATTATAAATATTATTTCCTTTCTATCTTCATTCATAGATGTGAATCATCGATTATTTTTTGCAAAATTATCTTCACTACATTATGTTATGGAAGAAAAACATGCATGGAATAATGGGAATTGAATTAATATGATTAAAACTGTAATTAATTGATTACTATTTTGTCACCGAAATCTTTCAATTTTGAAATTGTATAATATTAATTCATAATTTCCGAAAATTTATATTAATCATATTGAGTGAAGTTCTGTAATATGAAAGATTTTCTTGAACGCATATTCATTGTGAATTGTTAATACACAATTGAGAGGTCATGAGTTCAGAAAAGAAATTAAGGTGAAACTGGACTAATAAAGCGTATCAAATGGTCTCCATTTACCAATTTAAATATTTAATAATCAAAGTATTTATTTATTCGTCGAATTGCTTCATTTTAAAGGAAAACATGCTAATTTATTCATTTAATAGTGGTTTTTATAATAGGAAGAATCTATTATAAAAATAATAGAAAGAAAACTCTTTTACATTAAACCGGGCAAATTATAATATACAGTATATCACGAGCATTATTATCTTAAAAATTATAATTATATAATTGAATCAAATTCAATAAGAACCCAGCCAATTCAATTTTCTATTTCTTTCAAAAAATAAACTTTTCAGTGATTCAAGTGATTAGACATTCCGGAAATAAATTGATGCGGCAATGTGACTGTTCTAAAAAACATAAAATCAAATTTAACTTTTCATGAGTTTTCAGATGTTTCAATACATCTGAACAACTTATAGCGGATACTATTATTGTTCTCTATATTTGCAATAAGTTTTCACTAATTTCATTTCGAAATCTTTCTATATTGAAATAATTCACAATTACATTTTCTGAGAGACTGACATTCTCATTTTCAGATATGCAGCAGAGCATTAATGAACAGACTGAGGAAACTTATAATAAGCCAATCCTTCAATCTGCACAGATGCGTAGGGTTAAAAACAAATTTACAATGAGTGAGGATGCAGCGCTTCAAAGTCTCGTAAAAAAGTATGGAGATGCCGATTGGTCAGCAATTGCAAATGCTTTAAGAACTAAAAACTCACGTCAATGCCATGATAGATGGTTTTATTACCTCAGCCCGAAGCTAAACAGAAACCCATTCACCGAAGAAGAAGACAATAAACTTATTCAATTGGAAAAGAAATATGGACAACATTGGGTTAAAATCGCCAAACACTTCTCAGGAAGAACAGATACTCAAATTAAAAATAGATGGAATGTTATTAAGAGAAGATTAGAAAATGATAGACCAATAATGACAACAACCTATATTAACCAAGCAGAGAATCCTTTTGACTATAATCCACAACAACTCTTTTGGGATGCACAGAATCTTTTCCAATTTTCTCAGATGACAGCACAATATTGAAAGAGCTGATGTGAAAATTGATAATGATGATGTAATTTTCAATATTGAAGTTTCAAATTTAACTTCCCTATTTTTGTGTGATAAATAAATGTTTCTTATATGATTGTAAATGATATAGGGGGATTTATATCATCGATCAAATAATATTATATGAGAACTGACTGGATTGCACAATTTATCCTCCTTCAAATTCAAATTTAACTTGCAAAATAATGATTAGATATGTGCGGGAGTACGAAATATGCAATAAAATTTGATCGATTACTCAAAACAATAAAAAAATTGAAGAAATTTCATGATAATCTAAGAAAAATCAATTGCAATTCGAATATCTTGAAGACAAATAATTTAATTAGCATAGCAATAAGATTTAATTTTTTACATTATTGATTCAGAAACGCAAAATTCGATTATCTAATAAGAAAATATGAATATTCTATCATATCTAATGCTAATTATGATATATTCTTAATTACATCGGCGCGTCATTATTCGGTCGATCTTTCTCAAAATCAAAAATTCGATTGGATTTTTTCAATGAGATTTGGGTTAATTCAAAATTATTGTAATACGAATAAATTGGATATATCAATTCATTAGAGTATAACAATGGAATTCCCACAAAAATTAGGACTTTAATACAGGGAATTAAATTATCCGATTATCAAAACTGAAAATAGTACGATATAAGATAGATATTTAGAGGTATTAGGATAATATAAATCATATTGCTTATTAAATTAATACAGTTTATAAATAAAACAGGAAGAAACAACATAAAAAAGGCATTGTTCTTTAAAATCTCAAAATACAGATGCAAAAGGATCATCTATTTGATCTACTCCTTCGAGTTCAAATAGATTATCAAACATTCTTTGAGAAATTGGATCAGAATTTTGTGTTATAACTTGCTGCGATTGTGGAATAATATTTTGTGTTGGGTTCAATATAGTTGGAATATTAATAGATTTTTCACTTTCTAGCCTTCTTTTAAGAACATTCCATCTGTTTTTGATCTGGGTATCTGTCCTTCCTGAAAAATGTTTTGATATACGAACCCAGTGCTGTCCATATTTCTTTTCAAGTTTAATAAGTTTTTGATCTTCATCTTCTGTGAATGGTCCGCGATTCAACTTCGGACTTAAATAATAAAACCATCTATCATGGCACTGTCTAGCATTTTTAGATCTAAGAATCTGCGAAATAGTGGACCAATCGCTTTCTCCGTACTTCTTTACAAGCATTTGAAGTTTTGCGTCTTCATTGATGGTAAACTTGTTCTTTCCGCGGCGTGTTTGATCTGTACGTGAAACGATCTTTGATTCTACCAGTTTGTCACTTGACATTGGAAATATGAAATGATTTTATACAAGAAATAACCTTCTGAATTTTCCACATTGAAAAAAATTCTTGATTAAGATGCATTGAAATAATTCAATATGATTTTAAAAGTTATGAAAAGTCAGTATAATGTATTCATTAAAATGGGTATATATTGATAAATAAGATTATGTAATTTTTGATTAATTAGATATTTGAATTAGCATTGAAACAGACCTCAAATTTTCACCTTTCAGTTCTCAATTGGTTATTACTAGTTATACCAAAAATATTGATTTTATGTGTATCCAACAGTGTTTTAAAATATTGACTTTTAATAATAATTGAAAGATTATATATTTTGTATGGATTGACGGTTTGATATAGAAATTTTTGTGAACTTCAAATCTCTTACTACACAAATATTGAGAGGGGTTTTCAATATTCAAAATCTTTTATTCTTTTCTTTTTATTAATATATATTATTTTAAGAATGGCAATGGATTTATGGTTTTAAACGCCATCTCAGCATTATAAAATTTGATTTTCATAATGAATTTTGATTTGAGCCATTTTATTGAAGAAAAGCAATTATTTCTTATCAATTATATTAGAGATTAGGTAGTGGAATAATTTACCAAACTTTGGCTTCTTTATTCGTCCATATAAATTCACTAAATTGCTTCATTCAAAATTTCGCAATCCAAAACTTTTCTTCTTTTCTGTTTATGAGAAATGCATTAATAAAAATGAAATCTTGATTAGCTCTCTGAAAAATATAAAATTTGAGGATCATGATGCATTCAAAAATTAAATGAGTCAAATTTGAAAACACCTTTTATCATTGGGTGTTTGTGTTATAATGAAAGGGTAATATTTTTTATTAACAAGTACATTCAAATTTCTAAAGCATTCAAAAAAATATATTGGAAAAATGCTTTATCTGAAAATTTAGTAGATATAGTTGGCGCTATATTACAATTTGAGAAATAAAGTAGGATTTTGTTTTAATTGTATTGAACTAATGCAGAATCAGTAGAGAAGAAAATATGAAAAAAAAAGATTTGGATAAAAATAGTAAATTACAATAGAATATGCAATCCAGACACAAATGGATATTTGTTTTACTTTGGGAGCTCCTCGATTTTCTTATCATTACCTAACCATTTGGGAAGAAACAAATAATAGTATATTTTATTAATTATAAATAATTTTATAAATAAATTAATGTAAATCCGATATCGTTCAGCGGTTAGGATATGTGGTTTTCATCCACAGGATCGGGGTTCGACTCCCCGTATCGGAAAAATTTTTGATTTTTTTTTCATTTTTGGCAATCATAACTCAATGAACTTCTTTTTGTAATTAATATGAAATTTGATTTACCCACAACAAAGAGGAACACCTTAATCAGTTTGTAATTCATTAAGGGCTATCAAAGTAAAGTTCCAAAAAAATATTTTCTAAAAATGTAATAAAAAAACAATACTTTATATTAGAATATCATATCACAATGACGGAAGTTTTGGAGGAGAGTTTAAACCAGTGATTGGAGGTAAGCCTGTTATCGTACCTGATTTATTAAGTTTAGGCTTCGAAACTTGTGGAACCATTTGATTTCTGAAATTGCTCAGGAGTTTTTCTGAAGAAGAAGGTTTAATATAATAACCTCTCTTCTCAATAGGTGAAGAAGTCTGATTTACTGCTTCAGCCTTTGTAACCCATGGCAATGGATCAAAGGCCAAACCTTCTGGTTTAGTTCCTGGATTGAAAACTAAAATTCCACTCTTATTAGTGTTTTGGCCGCAGTAATTTGAAGCGGAAAACACAGTTATGCAAAGCTTGTTGAGAGAATATCTAACACCCTCGTTAACGCATTCATGTCCGCGAACAATTAATTCTAAACCTGAATTTCTCAGGAAAGAGTTCAACGCATTTTGACCAAATAAGTATCCAACGCCTCTAGGAGAGGACATATAAAGTGGAATATTATCAAATGGATCTGACCAGGTGAGTTCTGTTGCGACTTCATCATCCATTATCGGACCTGGTCGTTTTATATTCTGAATATCATCTAATTTCTGAATGGATGGACCTACACCACCATGTATGCATAAAGCGTATTTGTCAATGATCGCTGCATATGGCATTTGGTTAAATGCGTTATTGACCCACTTAGCAATATCAGGCGTTCTCCATTCCTCTATTGCTGAATTTATGAAACATTCTTTGAACTGAGTATCTTGCCACTCATGATTGCCTCTTAATACATATACTTGATTTGGATACATAATTTTTAAAGAAAAAATGAGAACTAGTACTTCCATTGAAAAGTCGCCTCTATCAACAAGGTCACCAAGGAAAATATATTTCCTGAGTGGAGGAAAACCGTTAAAATGAAAAATTCTCAGTAAATCGATGAGCTGTCCATGAATATCACCTAAAACAATGCATGGTGACTGAATCTCAAGAACTGTTTTCTCTAACTTGAATAAGTTCGCTGCTTGTTTTAATATTGATCTGAGAGTATCGATTCTTGGAACGAATATCTTGAGTTTTAATTCCTTCCTGCAATAGGCATCCATCTTGTCTTCGTATTCATTTTGATAAAATCTGATTATATCTGGGATTTCATCAACTGGAAGATCTTTAAACATTAATTTTTTCTAAATGCTCCGCACATTGAAAAAAAAATATTTTTGTATGTATTCTCAATTGAAATTTAATGTGATTATCTGATTTATAGCTATTTGCGAACGAAATTACTGGAATTTTATGAAAACAGATATTTTTAATAACTTCGATAATATGACTTAACCAAGCAAGTTATTTCAATATTATAATAAAAATATAATTCTTATCTCAATCCATTCAAATATGTAAAGCAACAAAAATTGGATTTTTATGTTATTGTATTGTTTGTATGTTATATAATCTATTTATTTAAAATAAAATTAAAATCACGTTATTTTTGACACTTTTTTCCTATGGTTATTTCTTGAAATTACTAGTGGATTGTGCAGGATTAGAATAATTGCCTTAAATTAAAAAAAAAAAAAAAAAAAAAAAGGCAGTGGGGCTTCCAGGCACTTCGTGCCCTCTAGCCCTGAAGATGTTTAGTATAACTTTGTCCGGACAAGTAAGGGTCTATCGTCGCTACAGGAAAAGTTACAGGCGTTCCAAGGAAGTATACTTTGAGAAGCCTTTTTCTGTCACTTTTCAGGGAAAAAACATTTTTATTATTATATATAAATGAATTTTACAAAACCACCGTTACCGTTCTTTGGAAATAAGAGTAAATGTAAAGATATTATATTGAGAGAACTTAAGAAACTACCGAATGGTCTAACATTTGTAGATTTGTTCGGTGGAAGTTTCTATATATCTCATTTATGTCATACCGTATTTCCTGACTCAAAGATTATATGCAATGACTTCGACAACTATATGGACCGTCTCAAACATATTCCAGACACAAACAACATATTGAAAGAGTTAAAAGAAAAGATACCTATAGGTAAGATGGAACGTATACCATTAGATAAGAAAATATTGTGAGAGAGGTTTGAAAAAAGCAGAATATATAGACTGGGATAGTATATCTGCTAGACTATTATATAGTGGTTCTATAAGATTCATGACATTGAAACACTTATGTCAAAAGTTTTATATCTTAACTATACAAATGTTTTCAAAGAGGACATAGAAAAATATATTGAGGGTATAGAGTTTGTGAGATGTCATTGGACAGAGTTGTATGAAAAATATAAAGACAAGGAAAATGTTTTCTTTATAGTGGACCCGCCGTTCTATAACACATGGGATTTTCAATACCAAGTAGACTGGACTCTGAGAGACTCTTTAGAAACTTTAGACGTTTTACATAACCATCCATGCTTTTACTTTACATCCGATAAAAGTGGTTTGGAAACCGTTATGAGATGGTTAGAGGACATACATGACTATGAGTTTATATATGACAAGATAGAATATGAGAGAGGTCCTATAAACTGGAGAAAGTGTCATAATAAAGAAATTTTATTAGTAAGTAAATGTGGTTTGAAATAGGACTACTTGTTTTAGGTTTTTTCCATTGTGTCATTTATTTATTTGACGTGGCAGAAAAGTACAGAGAATATGAAGATGAACCAATGCCTGCAAATGTTCAGCATATGTACTCGTAAGAGATATTTTTATCTAATATTAAATGGACGCACAGAACTTAGCGAATGCACAGCAACCTGGACAACCAAACCCAGAGAATATTCCAAATGAAGTTAGAATACAAACTGCAATGGCAAACTATGGTCAAGTGCCAACAGATGTACAAATGCAAACTGCCATGTCAAATGACGCTGCGTTAGGTTTGCCACCATGGTATGCAAATATGAGATGGAAAGAGTTTTATACAAACCCTGAAGTGGGATATAAACAACTCTATGCAGATGACGCGAACACAGGAGTTGACCCAGAGTATGTTTTCTACCAGAGGAGAAATAGAATGTATGAGCTCCAGTTAAAAAATGCTATGGAACTCAACAGGAAACGTAAGAGACTAGGCGGACATTAGATTTTTACATATAGTAAAATGGGTTTCTTCAGTAGTATTGGAAACTTCTTTCGAAATGTTGGAAGAGGTATATGGAATGGAATAAAACCGTAGAAGAGGAATTTGGAACGGAGTCAAAAATATTGGTAAAAGAGTAGGTCAGTTTGTTGGTATTATACCTAAAGACCCTGAACCAGAAGAACAAGCTCCTGTTATACAACAGCCTGAACCTGCACCACAGTCTAGTTGGCAACCAAATCCAACACCTCAACCGTATTAAAATTATATTTTTACCGTTCGATAGTAGTTGTATATGAGACTAAGTTCTAAGTAAAACGCATGGTATAATGGAACTATTCTCTTTCTTCCATCTGTTGTAAACCATACTTGAAAGTCTGAAATACTTCCACTCGGTGGTTCATATAGCTTTGTAGGTTTTTCGTAAAAGTCATTTGCCAAGCATAAGAAAGAGTTTTGAGCGCCAGAAAATGAAGCATGAACAATAATAGCAGCTGGGTCGAAAACATCTTTAAATAAATATGGTTCATCTCTTGCATATCGACTGTAAATATTTGCTAAAGGAAGTTCGACTTCTGATTTAACATTCTTTGCAAATAATACCATGACATTGCAGTGAATTCTGTATATATTTGTTCGTCTTTCTTTGGATTGTCTTCGTAGATTTGAAATGACACTTGTGAATTTTGTTTGTCATATACAATTCTCACATAAAGTGTGCTCTCGGTATTTGCATATTCATCAGCATATTTTGCATAACATGAATTTATTTTATCTTCTATATTTTTTAACGCAGTCTGTAGAGAAGATGAAAGGTCAACTTGTATTAGCTCAATTTCTTCCCACATTTTTCGTTTCCCTTCAGATATATAATCTATATGAAACCTTACAATAAATGGAAAACTTTTATCTTTCTACAGACACAAACTTCATTCTACGAAAGCCAATAGCTTTTGTGACAGATGGGTCTCTTAGCCATCTTAATGGGTAGTCAAAACGATAGCCTTCATGCTTTACGGTCTCTGTCTCAAACTTTTGACCGACATTAGTAAAAAGTTCATCTAATGGTTTAGTTGTAGCAACTCTTGAATTTTCTTTTTCTATTGGAAGCATATTTTATCTAGAATAAAAATGTCGAAAGATATTGCTTCCATGAGAGAAATACAACACAACCGACAACTCATTATGCAAGCTCTAAATAAGAACACAACAAACTTTTCAAACTATTCTAAGATATCTGAGTCATTGAAAGAAGGAAACTTAAAACTGACATTAAACCCAATGACAGATGAGTTTCTATTTCAGACAAGAAGAACAATACTGTCTGTATAAATCCAACAAAAGGAACTTTAAACGAGAAACCTATAAATGAACTTCTTTTGAAAGCAGATGTTGACAACAAAGCTGACAAAGAATATGTAGACGATGCAATAGCAAAAGAAGAAGAAAGAGCTAACAATGCTTATGCAACAAAAGAACATACTCATCCTGAACTAGCAGACAAAACATATGTTGACAATAAAATGTCAAGTGAAGTGACAAGAGCTGAAAACGAATATTCTAAAAAGACTCATATACATTCTATATCTGATATTACAAACTTACAAGAAACCTTAAACAGTAAAAGTGCCGTTGGACATACACATACATCTTCTGAAATAACAGACTTAAACGTTAGCCTTGAAAAGAAAGCAGACAAGAACCATACACATGATTTCTTCACAACTGTTGCTATAGAAAGTATTGAAGGAACGGTTGAAGAAACTGGTGGGGATGCATTATATTGTAAACCTCCTAACTTTCCACAAGGTTTAACATCGGATGACGACATAACGACGATGAGAAACATTAGATGTAAAGATGTTTATGTCATGAAGGATGAACATAATATTAAATTCACTGCTCAAGATTTATATGACAAGAAAGCAGACAAAACAGAGCTTCAAACATTAAAGACAGAAATGCTTCAAACATTATATCCTATAGGCTCTATTTATACGTCAATGAACTCTACCAGACCAGAAACAGTTTTAGGTTTTGGAACTTGGACTCAAATAGTCGACAGGTTTTTGTATTGTGCAAACTCTTCAAAGGAAACAGGTGGAAGTAAAACGATTTCAGGTGAAAATTTACCTGCACATAGTCACTACATAGATTTAAGTACATCTCAAGCGGGTTGGCATAAGCATAGATATTGGGATTGGTCAGGAATGATAAAAGGTAAAGGATATGATGTTAAAGACAACGTTAAGTTTGCTATAGATTGTTACTGGAGTAACACTGAGGGAGGAGGAAACCATACACATCGCGTTTCGGGATATACGCAAACAACGGGACAAAGTAAAGACTACATGCCACCTTACATGACAGTTTACGCATGGTATAGAAATGCTTAGTCGTCATTTTCAACTTCTTTAGCATATTCGTCAGGAGTTGTCTTATATTTGTTAGGAACTGTCTTTGAAAGTATACCACCTTGAACCTTAACAAGTTTGAAACGAGGTCTGACAATAGTAGTTTTATCTTCTGCTTGCAGTCTGTACATTTTGCCATGTTTGCCTAAAACTTCATAATATTCTCTTGTATACTTTCTTCTATTTTTACGAACACGAACGTGAGTACCTGTCGAGTTCCCATTGTTGTCATAGTCAATAGTATTTTCATATGGGTCGCGTTTAGGTATTTCTATTTTTACTTTGTCACCTTTCTGAAGTTTGAAGCCCGGCATTCTTTCTTGTTTGTCTCTTTTGACTAAATTATTAAATATATAGTCTTTCTCTAAGTCAGGGTTGTTTTTCATTTCTTCGGGGGAGTGGTTTCCCAAACCTTTTTGTTTACGGCTATTGTAAATATTTAAAACTTGTCTCATCTTTGCCATGGAGAAGTGTCTATATTTGTCGTCATATGACATTTCATTTGCTTCACCACCTTGTGGTTGGTTTAAGTCTCTTAACATTTTTATACAACCGTCAATGACACCAAGAGCAGAATGGTTTTGGTCGACAATGAAATATTGGTTTACATTTTTTGAACGCAGATAGTTTTTTACATCATCTGATTTGAAAGAACTTTCACAGTCAGATGTCAGTTTTGTTGGATGGTATTTGTCAACGAATATTGTCAAAGCAGTTTTCACATCTAAAATATTTTTGGACCATAATGGTATGGCTTCACAGTATCTTGTGTTTTGACCGACAAATATTAGCCAGTATGGTGGTCCATCTTCTCTATACCTCGGAATGTTTTCCAAGATATCCATAAACCAAGCATTTGGTGTTGAACTAAAGATTTTTATCATGAGTGCTTTCTTTGTCGCTTTAGAAACATAGGGGTCCTTGTTTGGATTCGTCATTTTTTAACCCATAAGAAATGGGTTTATTTGGCGCATTAGCAGGAGTTGCATCCAGATTTTTGCCCGCAGTGGGAACAATAGCCAGAGGTGTATTTGGAGTTGGAAGGAAGATTTTGAGTACATTAGGTATACTTAAAGAGAAAGCACAACCTATTATACAAACTGTACAGAAAGGTTGGGATGTAGCACGAGATGCAGCAAATCTTATTCCAAATCCTGAAACAAGAGGAAAAGTTCAAGGATGGATGGACAATGTAGGAAGACAAGCAGGAAACTATTATAACAAAGCAAATGACTACTATAACCAAGCAGGACACTATATGGACCAAGGTGAAAGATTCTTTAACAGAGGATATAACCATGCACAACAATGGGTAAACAATAACCAACCGCAACCGCCTCAAACGTGGGGAATGTAAAGTTTTTTACTGAGATGAAATGAACAATACAGCATTGAGACAAATGGGTTCAAGATGGATTTGTCGACTTCCAGCAGTTACACAACGTGTTTGTCAAGTTCTTCCTATACCTCAGGAAGTTTTAGACCGACTTAAAAAACAACAACAACCAGTTGAAAACAAACCAAACTAAAATTTTTTACTGAGATGAAATGACCGAAGAAGTTGAAACGGTAGATTTGACACCACAAACAAAAAGTTCAGAACCATTGTCAAAACCTGTCAAAGAACTTACAGATGAAGAGAAAAATTCAATAATAGAAAGTGCCAGGTCTGGAAATACAAACCCTAACTATAAAGTCACTTTTCATAGAAATGGAACGGCTAGTATCTCAAAAAAGAAACAGACTCTCACAAATAAAATATTGAAGTCTGAAGGAGCTTTCGAGACAACAGATGGAAAAGTATACTTCACTGACAAACAGTTCATTATAGAACATCTCATTGACTTAGAGTCGAAATATTCTAAACTTTACAACAAACACAAAAAGTTGAAAGGAAAACAAAAACAAATGGCATATGATATTTACGAAGATGTTGACGACACAACCATACCTGCAAGTGAAGTAAAGTCAGGTGAACCGAAAAGTGACATTGAACAGATAGAAGAAGGTGAGCCAAAAACTGAAGATAAACCAAAACCAAAGTTTAGTTTCCAAACTAAACCAACTCAACCTTCATTAGCTGGTATGGGTTGGCGTCAAAGACTTCTGGTAGCAGGAGGTTATGTAAAGTAAAAGAAAAAAATATTTTTAAAACAGTATATTTTTTTATTTTTATTTGAACTGTACGCTGAGTTTGTTGGAAAAGACCGTTGGGAAACTTGTTTGTTAGACGATGAAATATGAAATGGCATACCATTTAAAACAACATTTTTTTAAAAAATATATTTTTTTATTTTATTTGAAATGTACGCTGAGTTTGTTGGAGAAGACCGTTGGGAAACTTGTTTGTTAGATGAGAAATATGAAATTCACTGTTGTGAGTCATTTGAAGTCAGAAACAAAAAGACAAAAAGAGTTTTAAGCGAATGGGAGCAAAATAACGGATATGCTAGGATGAGTATGAGTGGGAAACGCTATTTTAAACATGTTGTCATTGCAACTCATTTTATACTGAATCCTAACAATTTACCTTTTGTAGACCATATAAACCGTATAAGAAACGACAATAGACTTGAAAACTTACGCTGGGTTACTTGTTCTGAAAACAATAAGAACAAAGGCAAATTTCGAGATATTGTATTCGAATTTGTCGACGAACTAGAAGATGAAGCAATTGAAATTACAGACTATGGCGAGCATACGTTTGAGTTTTACTACTATAGCGAAGAACAGGACTCTTTCTACCTTTATACCGGCGTAAACTATAGAAAATTACAAGTATATTTTACTAAGGAAGGCTATGCTTATGTAAACGCTAGAGATACAGATGGAAAAAACGTTAGACTATATCTTAACAAATTCAAGAAGCTATATGGCATACCATTTTAAAACGTTTTTCAAAACGTTTTTAAAATAGTATATTTTTACATATATAAAATGCTTCAGGTTGAAAAACAAAGAACAAAAGTAGCAGATACAAAACCGTTAGACTATATCTTTACAAATGCTGGTAGGACTATTTCAGATGAAGAAATTTCATCCGGTGCTTACAGGTTTGATTATCCAATTCGTTGGCTTCAAAGTCCTTCAGATGCAAAGGCAATAGGATTTAGAAGAGTTTTGTTTTCAAAAAGAACTAACGCATTTATGTTCGCAGTATATTTTCATGGGCAGTATAAAGGTTCTGATGGTCTAATAGACAAATTTGACGAAATGAGAATCTTTACAGTTCGTTCAGACGAAAGTCTTGAGAAAACTCTAAATGACTTTCAAACTCAAATGAACAAATATTATTGGGAATTTCAAGAAAAATACGACTCTTTACTAAATGGAACATACTATCTGAAACTAGAATATGACAAGATGAACTCCACCGTTTCATTTCAAAAGATTGAAATTAACCCTCCAAGAGATACAGAGTTTTTATTTTGGGAAGTAGACAAACGTTCTTGGGCACAATTTCTTCGGTTACTAAACCAGAACGAACCATTACCACCAGATGGTCCATTTCAATTTATACTTCCACCAGCAGATTTGACAGTTTATAGAAACGTGTTTGACCCTCAAAATGTTATGTGTCATGCAAGTTTCAGTTCAAGCAACAATAGTTTTCTATGTATTGGTAAGGACTTTTATGACTTTGCTTCTAAATTCTACGAACCACCTAGTAACAGTTTCTCTGACTTTCAAGTTTGGTTCACAACAAATGGTGTGCAACATATTATTCCATTGTACTATGACTTTTATCTCGAATTGTCTTTCATATATAACTACGGAAAAGTGCTGAAAAAGTATTGAATGTAAAGATATTAGAAAATAACACGTTTTCTAACATCGTAGAAAACTCATGAAAACAATTTATTTTTGACACTTTCACAAAAAACATAAAAAAGTGAAGTTAAACGTTAAGGTTTACTGAACTGGTTGGATGTCGCCTTCTGAGGTTATGAAGAACGGTTGTCCTGAGAAGTGGAACAGTGCTCTGAGAATTTGTATAATTCGTGGAATTGGACTCTCTCTGTTTGGAAGTAGTATCCAAGGACGCTTGGCAAAGAACTTGAGAAGAGCTTCTTTCTTTGCTTGCTTTATGCCATCGTAGGCTGTCCCGTCTGGTATTTGAATTGGAATTCCAGTCGAAATCTCGAGAGTCAAGGCAGCCCTTCCAGAAATAGTTGTGAACTTGACCTTGGGCTTCATGACCTTGCGCAAGTAGTCTTTTATGCAGTCGTTAATTTAAATTAGGTAAATTGCCTCGTCAAATGGCTCGATGTTGTCCATTGCACTGCTTCAGAACAATACTTGTACTTTTTCAGAACAATACTTGCACTGCTTCAGAACAATACTTGTACTTTTTCAGAACAAGACTTGCACTGCTTCAGAACAATACTTGTACTTTTTCAGAACAAGACTTGCACTGCTTCAGAACAATACTTGTACTTTTTCAGAACAATACTTGTACTTTTTCAGAACAAATTTCCCGTAAAAGCTCTCAATTTGTGAGAAAAATTTTCTGTTTCAGAACAATACTTGTACTTTTTCAGAACAATACTTGTACTTTTTCAGAACAATACTTGCACTGCTTCAGAACAATACTTGTACTTTTTCAGAACAATACTTGCACTGCTTCAGAACAATACTTGTACTTTTTCAGAACAATACTTGCACTGCTTCAGAACAATATTTGTACTGTTTCAAGACAATGTCCGACGTACCACCAACCCAGTCCATTCCCAAACCAGAGGAACCTAAAGCACCAGCCCCTGCACCTCAGTTCCAGCAAGTACCTCCGATTTACTACCAATTTCCACCTCAATCCAAATCGAAGAGAGACCAAGAGTTCGAAGAAGGTCTGAACCGCTTACGCAAAGAGTATGCTACAGCTCCAACCCTTGGTTGTTCCAGCAATTCCAATCTCAATCCAAATTACTACCAATCTCAATCCAAATCGAAGAGAGACCAAGAGTTCGAAGAAGGTCTGAACCGCTTACGCAAAGAGTATGCTACAGCTCCAATTGAGAGAAAGTTGTTGCTAAATTCAGTAAAAATAATGTTTAGGTGAAGAGGTGACATCTCACCTGTTTTCTCACCTCTTTTCTCACCTCATGAATTTTCATGAATTTCATCGTAAATGTTTTGTCGAAACTTCTTCATCGTAAATGTTTTGTCAAGACTTCTTCGTAAATGTTTTGTCGAAACTTCTTCATCGTAAATGTTTTGTCAAAACTTCTTCATCGTAATGAGTGTAAATGACCCAAAAATATATTTTAGGTGAAGAGGTGACATCTCACCCGTTTTCTCACCTCTTTTCTCACCTCATGAATTTTCATGAATTTCATCGTAAATGTTTTGTCGAAACTTCTTCATCGTAAATGTTTTGTCAAGACTTCTTCGTAAATGTTTTGTCGAAACTTCTTCATCGTAAATGTTTTGTCAAAACTTCTTCATCGTAATGAGTGTAAATGACCCAAAAATAATGTTTAGGTGAAGAGGTGACATCTCACCTGTTTTCTCACCTCTTTTCTCACCTCATGAATTTTCCCGAAATAAAAAATAAAGTTAGTTTTATTTTTTTTATTTTTTTTATTTTGTATAAAAGAACAGAAATGTCAACAATCGGCACAACAACAATTCAAACAACTACAGCACCAAACTCGCTAGTCATGAATCCTACGTCAATGTTGGTAGAAATGAAAAGCTTCATTCCTTCTTCATATACTTTCGAAACAGAAATACAAAAAATTAAGCAAGAACTTCTCCAAGGAGATTTAGACTGTTGTGCAAAAGATGAAACAAATGAACAGTATCTTTATGAAATGCAGGACATTATTGACCATTTACCCAAATTGCCTGAAATTCAGCAGCAAAAACTCACTATTCCTGAATTCGATGAAATAGAAGTCAAAGCAACTGACTCAGTAGAAATAAAGAAGTTCATACGAAAGGTAAATTATGAATTCCTTGGTTTTCATTGCAACCATAAGGTTATGGACAAAGATTGCGACATGGTATATAAAAATATTTCTGACATATATAAATCTGGGGAGTTTAAGACCTACGACAACTTTGTTTCGTTAGTTGCTGAATGTGTATGGCAGATAAGAGATAAAGATAGAAGAGGTAAGGTATGGAACGAACAAATAAGACCCGCTATGTTTGAGATGAAGAGAGCAATTGACGCTTTAGTTGTTTTAGCAGGTAAGGTTTCAGAATATAACGCAAAAATGAACCCGCAATGTTCAAAATGTAAAGCAGCAATTAGGAAATATAACTACTCCGTCAAAGAGATAGAACGTATGCGAAACGACTATGCAGATTTAAAGAAAGAAGCAGAAAAACCAGCAGAAGATAAAATGGACATGTTAGAATTTCTGAACAAAAACTATCCAACAGCAGAAGATTTCCTTCTATCTGACGTCAAGAAGAAATATAAAGAGACTTTCGGCATTGTTAAAACTTTTGATATCCTCAGCGAAGAAATAGAAGCTACGAAATTGTTCAGGATTTCAAATATACATCGTACAATTCATGTAAAACGCTTATAAAATAACTAGGGTGAGAAAAGAGGTGAGAAAACGGGTGAGATGTCACCTCTTCACCTAAACATTATTTTTTACTGAATTCAGCAACAAAATTCTGAGTAAAATAATTTTTAGGGCTTGTGTCAAACCGTTGAGTTTTCACAAAATTTAAAAAATAACGTTTACCATGTAAAACGCTTATAAAATAACTGAGGTGAGAAAACAGGTGAGAAAACGGGTGAGATGTCACCTCTTCACCTAAACATTATTTTTGTCTGATTTACGCTCATTACGAAGAAGTCTTGACAAAACATATACGTTTAGTTTCGATGAAATCATGACAAAGAATGTACGATGAAGTCTTGACAAAACATATACGAAGAAATCATGAAAATTCATGAGGTGAGAAAACAGGTGAGAAAACGGGTGAGATGTCACCTCTTCACCTAAAATATATTTTTGCTGAAAAATGACCAAATTTCATGAATTTCCTTAAGACAGAAAAAATAAAGTTAGTTTTTTATAAAATATTTTTTTTATTTTGTATGTAAGAACAGAAATGACAAACATTGAGTTTGAAACAGTTAGAAAGATAGACAATGACACCAAAGTGGTTAGAATAGGTGATTTAAACGTAAGATACTCAAAGAAATACAACAAATATTCTTTGTCAGACATTATATCTCCATCTGGAAAGAAAACAAAGGACTGGGTTAGAATTGCTTCTAGTCAGAAAATTTTGACAAGAAATCCTGAGCTTATGATATCGGTAAGATTCTATGGAACTGCAGCATATCTTATAGACAAAAGTCTTATACCAATAGTTTTGTTATGGTTAGACCCAGTTGTTGGATATAACTTCATAACATATGGTTCATTCGATACGGAACGTTGCAGTGAAGGCTTACTTTACATCGTTCAGAAACCGAAGGACTTCAATACAAAAAGATATAAGATAGGAAGAACATATAATATAACTCAAAGATATGACAGTACAGTCAATAGAGTCAAGGTTGTGTTTGCTAATGATATGAGAGCTGCAGAAACAGAACTACTTGAAAAGTTTGAGAAAATATATGGTGCTCCATAAAAGGTAAAGAAACGTTTGAAGTAGATGAGATAGATAAAGCTATAAAATTATTTGACGAAGTTGCTGAAAAATACATGTAAAGCGTTTATTTTTGGTCTTTTGTGAAAGTCAGAAAATAAAGTTAGTTTTATTTTTATTTATTTTTTTATTTTGTATGTAAAGACAGATATGTCAACAACAGAGAACACAACAACTGCTATCGTTCATGAAGCCATAAATGAAGAATACGAGTACATACAGTTTAACAAACAACTCCGTCTCATTCGTTCGGTCAAAGACGATATGTACCAAATGCAAAGTATTTTGAATGCTCTTCGTTCTACAAAGCAAGCATATCATTGGTTTGAAAACCAACAGACAAAAGAACTTTTAGAAGAATTTCCTCATATGTTTGCTTCCCTCGGAAAACCGAGGGAAGAGATTCCATTCGAAAATCGCAAGAATTTGGCTCCTTGTTTGAAAGGATATTATGTTCATAGACTTTTAGTAAATGCTGTTGCAATGTGGGCTTCACCTCGTTACGCTTGTTATATTTTCATGATGTTAGATGAAATTCATAGACAAGAACGTGAAGAGATGGAAAAGAAACTTCAAGCAAAAAATGAAGTCATTGAAGCAAAAGACAAAAACATTCAGAAAAGAATACCACGTTCGGTACCAAAAGGAAAGGAAAAGAACTATAAGTATATGATTTATACTGAAGAGATGGAAAATGAAGAAGATAAAGATATGGTTATGTTGCATTTAGTCAGAAGAAACAACAAAAGCTTTTACGACCTTGCTAAGATTTACAAATCTGACAGAAATTGGTTCTATCGCGAAAACTTACCGATTTCAATGACACCTAATGAAGATGTGAAACAAATAGTTCAAGATACGTTACCTCAAACACACTATGATATTAAAGGTTGTACAATTCTTACATTCAAAGAAGATTTGCCATTGTTAAAGGAAAAAATAACAGAGTATTTTGACAACTTCAAACAAGCAGAGTAAATGAACTCTTTATTTTTCAAGCTTGACTTCAGATGGCTCAAGTAGCTCAATTAGGTAAATTGCCTCGTCAAATCCTTCTGGCATTCCGAGTCCTTCCATCCGACAGGAAGAACTCTTCCTTCCGACAGGAAAAAATTTTCCTTCGACAGGAAGAACTCTTCCATCCGACAGGAAAAAATTTTCCTTCCGACAGGAAAAAATTTTCCAGTTGTCCGTCCGTAAACCATTCAAATTTTCGAAAATTGAGAACTTTTTGGTCGAACTTCAGAAAAAAATTTTCCATCCGACAGGAAAAATTTTTCCATCCGACAGGAAAAAATTTTCCTTCCAACAGGACACAAACGAATGTCTCACGTCCCTCTTCCTGAATGCCTTCCAAAGCCAGAAGAACCGACAGCCCCAGCACCACAACAGACTTACTAAGACTAAACACTTACATTTTTCAAGCTTGACTTTTTACAATTTGAACTTTGTTTGCGTAGATATGAATTCTGAAAGAAGTATGAGGGTCTTGTATGACTTTGTACTTCTCCCATAGTTCATGTCTGTCAAACTTACCTGCCATGGACTCTTTCATAAGTTCCATGAAATCGTCTTCGGACAATCCGGGGAAAAGTATAATGTCAGTAAGTATTCTTTTAACATCTTTACTTAAACTCTTTGCTGTCTGTACACAAATGACAACTGAGATGTTAAAGTGTCTGAGCTTCTTAAGAATTCGACACATGTCTTGTTCTCTATTCTTAAGCAAAGGATGAGAAGCAAAGTCATCTAAGATAAGAAGACACCTATGAGGGTATGTCTTCCAATCGTAAGATTGCAATTTCTTCGAAATGTATTCTATCTCTTTCTGTTTGTTTCTGAAGTGTTTCTTCTCTAATATTCTCTGCATTTCCTCATTTGGGTCTTTAAACTTAGAATTTATATACTCATTTATAGCATTGTACTTCAAAACTCTTCTTTGGTACTTCTTTATCCAATCTAACAACTCAGAGTCTTTTATACATACTAACTTAGACTTTTTTATAATATCTTTGAACGAATTGACGGTTTGGTCAAATTGACCAGAAGTACTACAAATAACAACTAACTCATAGAATGGGTTCTTCTCATCTAGTTCTTGTTGTTGTGCAGCCATTTTAAGATAAGTGAAAGTCTTACCCGACCCAGGTGGTGCGATTAGACCTGTTATACCATTCTGAGCAAATAGGAACTTGTCATGTATGGGTTTTATCTGAGCATTTTCTAACTTCCTCTTGTTCTGTTTAAAACATTCTCAAATTTCTTGTCAATGTCAGCAAACTTTTTTTCTAACATATTTTTAGAAAAATTAAAAATTTTATCTTTTAGGAAATGTCTAGCGATTTCGCTATCTATATTCGAGACAAGCTTTTCGACAGCAAAACATCTGTAGACCATAAAATCTTACATAGTGTAAACAAGAAAGGGGAATTTGTTCTAAAGTTCTGTTTCTGGGAATATGACAAGAACCATAAAACATTAAGCAGAGAAGTCTTAAAATTTGTCAATGACAGACTTGTTGACAGAGATGACGCCGATTGGAAAGATGAAGTCCAACAAAAGTTCTTAGAATGCAAAGAAGACACATGCGCTGTTCTTGAAGATGAAATAGAAAACAGAATAGAAGAGCTATTAAAGGACAAAGACCTTTTACAAAAATATGGTTCTGAGAAGTTTGACATAACTCCACCAGAGAAGAAGAAGAAGAGAGAGAAGAAAGAAAGAAAGTAGAAGAAGAGAAGAAAGAACCTGAACCAGTTCCAGAGAAAAAGAAATTTGACATGTAAAAATAAAATTTTATTTTTAGAACATTTCTGGGTCAATGTCAATGTTCTCTTCCTCTTTAGGAGTAAACACTGGCTTAGACTCTAAAATCTTTTTACCCAATTTACCTTGAACTTCAACTATCTTAGACTCATAATATTCATAGTCGTCTGCTTTCTTTGGTTCATAAGGTATAACAAGTTTGTATGCTTTACCTTCTTCGAGTTTTGAGAACTTTCTGTCAAAATTTTCTTTGACTGTCAACATACCGTCAATGTATAAGTCTTCAAAAGTTGCACCACTTTTTCTAACAACAGCAAACTTAACTGGTGCAATGTTCCAAATTTTGTCAAATGTAGACTTTTCAAAATTGTAGAAGTAAACATTCAAATATGCAAATGGAGCTAACTTATCTTTGACTTCTGTCATGTACTTATTTACTGAGATGAATTTTGCCATCTTTTCTATCGGATAAAAAAATATTTTTTTAAAATTTACTCAGAAAAATTTTTCTTTGTATATACGCCATTCTGAACATCTAAAAGACTTTTGACATTTGCCAAGAATGTTCGTTTAGACGCTGTCATATAACCATACTCTTGACAATATTGTTTATATTCATCGTACAATGACCTTTCATCTAAACACTCAAAGTTAGTCTCATCTATAAACAGTTCATATACACTCTTGTTTGCTTCTAACAATGTTTGTCTCTCTTCGGTATATGGAATTTGTCTTGGATTGAACTTTGAAATATCTAATGTCATAAAATATGAGAACAAGTGGTTGTAAAAGTCAGATGTCAAAGTTTCTGCTAAGTCGTCAAAATATTCAGTATCTTGCATATGAGAATCTGACGTTCTGACAACTACATATCTTCTGTCAGAACTTTCTAACTTCATCGGAACAGCATTGTTTGAAACCATAATGAAGTTTGCAACATTTTCACAAACTCTTTGGTCTTTATATTTTCTTTCAACAACTCCAACTTTGTCTGTTATAAGACTCTTCAAAGCATCTGAGTTCAAAACTTTTGTTGTATCTATACTTTGAAGTTCATTGCAAACTATAAGTTTCATATTCTCAATTGAAGAGTTAAATTTACCGCAGATGTTTTCTAAGTTTGTCATATTCGGATTCGAATAACCTTCTAACAGTTTGCACAAAATATCTGTAAAGAAAGTATTCTTACCAGTTCCTTGTTTTCCAATTATAATGAGAGCAGTTTCATTTTTAGCACTTGGATGTTGTAAGATGTTTGCAAACCAACATAAGATATACTCATAGACTCTTTCGTTTCCATTGCATATAATTTCTTTGACATGGTCTAACCAAGCTTCTATAACATTTTCTTTCCATTCTACTTGTTCATATTTATATCCAGTGAAGATAGAATAGAAGTTTGGAGAAGGTGTATAAAACTTTATACCACGAACTGAAAAATCTTCTAACTTTGACAATAAGATATCCCAAGCATCTAACATCTTCATGCCAACTTGTACGACTTTATTTTCTTAAGTTTCTGTCTACATTCTTGTTCAGACACTATTGTTGCTCTTGGTTTGTTAAAGACAACATCCCATTCTTTCATGACATAACATTCTGGGGCAGAGTCAACATAAATGACTAAACGTTTCAAATTCTCGACTGCTTTGTTATAGTCTCGAAATGGACACATATTTCTGAATGCTTGGAAGTCATAAAAATCTGAAACATCTATTCTGTACATTTTTATAAAAATAAAAAAAAATATTTTTTTTTATTCTTGACTTTGTTGTTGCATTTGTTGTTCTTGAGCTATTTGTTGTTGAAGTTGTTCTTGTAATACAATACTTTCACCGGTTGCATCTTCCAATTCGAAACTTTCTGCCGTCATTGACAAATACATAGGACATAAAAGTTTTACAGGAACAAAGTTTGCGTCAACTAAGGTTAAGTTTATGTTTGCTAAAGTGTTTGAGTTTACTAAAGCTGAAAACTCTGCATTCGAATGAACAATAGGCAAACCAGCAGAGAAAGTGTTGTTTATACGCATGAGTATCTTTTGGTCATAGTAGTTTCTGTCAACATTCGAATAGCACTTTGAACCTAAGTTTGAAACAATATATAAAATAGGTGTACTTAAAGTCAATGGAACAGACATTCCTTGTATGACACCTTTTCCTGTTATAGGAAACTGTTGGTAGTAAAAACCAGATATAAGTTTTGTATTATAGCTCATATCGTTTATACTAAACTCAGTCGGACATCCAAACATAATGAAACCTGCTCTAGTTGCAGCACATGTTACATCCGTCCTTAAAGTATTAAATAAGTCAACAAAACCTGTTGGTGGTATATCTGAGTAAGTATCTTCAAAGAAGTATTTTTTACCATTCACAACAACAAAGTCTTCTGGTGTCAAAAGAGCAAAACAGGCTTTAGTCGTCATCGTGTTTAAGGTCAGTTTACAATATCGTCCTTGAGGACTTTGTAAGTTTGTTGTTATAGAATTATATGACTCAGGGTTTTTAGTCGTAATAGTATAAACCACTATGTCTTCTGCCATTTACTTAGCAAATAAATTTTAATGAAATGTTGTGGTCGTCAAATATTTTTATGACGTCTGGGAAACTATACTTTAAGTTCAACGTTTCACCTCCTTTCATAACGTATATCTTGTCAATGACATTATATGAAACACCACAGCAAGCAATGTCGGGTTCTATTTCTTTGATGTTTATATCGTCTGCCTCTGTCAAAAGTTTCAATAGTTCTTTCAAAATTTCATGAGGTGCGATGACATATGAGTTCACTTTTACAGGGTTGTGTTCGACCAAGTTTAACATTATACTTAAAGCTTGACAAATCTTCTCCTGAGTTTGAAGTTTGTCTTTCAGTTGTTGGTAGTCGTTTCGAATATCTGCAACAGAACTTAAGTCTCTGCTAACTTCAGGATATGTTGGTTGTTCTTTTACAGGAACTATTGTTATACCATCTTCGTCTTCGTATGGTTTCCCCACTTCAACATCTCTGTCTTTGACATTGACAACAACACTTTGACTGTTTGTTTGAGTTGGTGAATTTAACTTCACATCTGCCACCGCCATTAAACCTTTTGAAACACTTATGCTTCTATTTTTCGGAAATGACATTTTACTTAGAATAAAAGATGGACGTATTTGAGTATCTCTTCGAATTGAAGCAAAACAAAGTTTACACACACAAACAATACAAGTTCATTGACAGAGTAGTTCTTTACACAAACAATGGAAAATGTTATAGAATAGCAATATTTGCTGAACCAAAATATTTTCATAAAGCAAAGAAAGTTGGTATAACCCGAGATGGTGAAAGTTCTTGAAGCAGACAAAAATATAACAACAAAACTGACCGATTATTTCTAAAGGTAAGTTTATAATACAATTTTATGTCAAAACTGGCGTACTGTCAATATTTGACGGAGAGAAGTCAGTTCAAGAACAACTTACTGACCTGCTGCCAAAATCTGCTCGATGGAAGCTGTCGTTATGCCAATCTGAGGAGCCCCAGCAGGTTTCATCGAACGAATCTTCAAAAGAGCATCTTCCGTGAAAAGTGCTATTGGTTTTGTAAACTTCTTTGCTCTCAGTTCATCTGGACCGTCTCTGTCACCAGTATATTGTATTTGAACTGTACCAACAGTTGAAATACCACCCATAAAGTCTTCTGAGTCAGCAAATGGAATGCCAAGCCAAAAGTTTGAACGGTCTCCATTTGTATATTGAGTTTTTTGACCTCCTGTATGAGTCCATACTTTCACATATGGCATAATAGAACTTTGCATTTCAGGGTTAATGGTTGTTGTGAAGTTGTTGTTAAAGTTCATAGCATCTAATGTCAAGTTGTATGACCTCATATCCTCAACTGTAGAATATTCTTCTCTTGGATAGTATTTGCCATCTATGTTTATATGATATTTAATACCAGGGTTGTAGAAACAAGAATAGTCATTTATAGTTCGTCTGAACAGTACAAACATAGTATCTGCATGTTTCATTGCAGTTGTTAAGGCAATATCTGTTCTTGCACCTGGGTCAGCACTTTGGTTTCCAACTTCACCTGCAAAGTCTTTGACAGATATTTGGTGTATAGGGAACATAAGTGGAACTGCAATATATTTGGCAGCTAAAGCATTTGAAATATCTGGGTCCAACATATAGACTGCAAGTCTGCTTTCTATTCTCTTGCATTCAAATTTTTCGCATGTGAACTTAACTGGGTCCCAAGCATCTCCAGCAGCATTGAAATAATAGTTTACTTCAGTGTTGAGGTTTGAGAAACCAAAGTCTAAGTCAACTTTGTTTTTGCAAAAGTCGGCGAATGACATTTTATTTGTTCCCACTACTTCTGTAAGAGTGAATGGGTCTTGTGTTGGTGCAATGACTAAGTTATTTTTGCTTGGAGTAAGTTCGATAGAAATTTTTCCTGCCCAGTTTGGCAAGTATCTTAAAAACCTGAAGATGAGGAAAGATGACAAAGGAACTCTAAGTTTCAGTTTTACTTTGGTTACTGCTGCTGCAGTTTGTCCAGAAAGGTTAACATAAACTCCTGGAACGTTAGGGTCAAGTCTTCTTATTTTCTCAATAGTTGCATACTGGTCTGTTTGTTCTCTAGCTTGTGGTTGTACTGAGTTTCTCAAAGCGAACCATTCATAGTTTGCCCATGTTACTGTTTGAACTAAGTCAGAGTTAGAATATATCTTATATCCCATGAAAACTTCTGGAGCATATTGGTATCCGACATAGAAAATTCCATTGCAACCTTTCTTGTCAGACAACTTGGCAGAAGGTTTTATTTCAATGTCTTGTTCCACGTATAAGAAAGAGTTGTCAATAGAAATTATATGAAACCTGTCGCAAGCAATATCTACTGTTGTTGAAGAACCTTCTCCAAACTCACCTACGTTTCCATAAGAAACAGCAGTTGTATATTCGTAAGTTCCAGGAACTATTTCTGACCTTCTAATGGCATTGTCGCATTCGTTATACCATTCGGAAACATTTCCATTCATGGCATCCAAAACTGTTGGCGTTATATTCTGAGCGGCGTACATTTCATATGAGTAAAAATATAGAATAGTTGGATTTATATGTCATAATAGAACCCACTCCGACCAAGCTTTACTTTCTTCCTGACTGAGTTTTTAACTCTTCTTTTTCCTTCATTGCCCTCTGCTTGAAGTTGTTGCATCTTTGCATTATGTTCATCTAGTATGTTGCAAATTTCCCATGTCCTTTTTGCCTTTT